TGTGTGTGTGTGTGTGTGTGTGTGTGTGTGTGTGTGTGTGTGTGTGTGTGTGAGAGAGCACAGAATACAACACCGTGCTTCCTCATCTTGGAAAACAAGGTGAGTTTTTTTTTTTTAAATGCCATTCTAAAACCTAGTGAGGTTGGGGCTAAGGAAAGAGATTACATCACCAAGGGTTTACATCCTGGGGTAGGAATGGTTGACTATCTCACAGTTGATGAGATTGGAGCATTTCCTGAACTGACACCAATTTACATCTCATTGAAAAGTCAGATTTTGGGGAGCTTGCAAAGGAAGCTGACTTTGTTGCATGAGCCTGAACAAACAGTCCCTGCTTTGCAATCAGCCCTACCAGGCAGGCAAGAGAAGGAATGTTAACTGTTCTGCACACATTGTTGCCTGCAAGAAGGTTAAACTTTTGGTAACCATCAATTGAATTTGGGTGGGATCATTGACCTCACCTGGTTTCTAGCTTTAGCTCCTCTGGCCGTTGTCTAAGGAACAGATATGTTGAAAAAAGAGCAGCACTAATTTGTCAAAGGGCAGTATGTGGTAGAGGGTGGGCCACTGTGTCCCTAAGTTCAAAAGACCTGGCTTTGTATCCTGACACTTGCTGTGTGGCCCTGGGCAAGGGCCTTCCTGAATCTGTTTTCTCATCTGTAAAGTGGGAGCTAAGAACATAGGTAGTCTAACTCAGGTAATTGAAAGCCCAAAGAGCTGCTTTATATAATGGGCTACATTGATGGCAGCTATGTTGGGGTACTGGAAACCTCTGGCTGTAAAGACATAGAAAGCCTTCAGTTTACCAATCCTGCCTTTCCAAGGTGGTCTTTGTTGTTGGAAACTTGGACCTTTGGACCTCTCCAAGGATCCTAGGATTAAGAGGTACAAGGGACTTTGTTTAGATGGAGACCACCTAGTCCAGCCCTTTTTATAGATGGAGAAACTGAGGCCAAGAGAGATGATGTGACTTTCAAATTCATCTGGGTAGGAAGTGGAGCCAGGATTCAAGCCTACTTCATCTGACTTGGAATCTGTTGCTTTTTCTACTATGCTGGCTTGGGAACTACCAGTAAACAAGTGACTGGCAGCAGGATCGTGCACCTGCACCGAGTTTGCCCACCTTGGCTGCTGGCCAGCACTGTGGACTTCTGGGCCTTGGAAAGGAGGTACCTGGTATCCCAAAGCCAACAATTCTCAGGAGCTGAATGGATTTCATCAGCACCTTTGGGTTTATAAAGTGCTTTCCTCATAACATCCCTGTAGGAGTGGGTAGTACAAGTACTATTCCCATTTCATAGATGAGGAAACTAAGGTTTGTGAAGGTAAGATGGCTAGAAAGGAACAGCCCAAATTCTGGGTCTCCCAGTTCTAAGGCCAATGCATTTTCCATAACACTCACTCTGCTTGAAGTGGAGTTTTCATCTGGAGGAACCATGGATGCTGGAGTCTACTTCATTGGACCAGTTCATGGCAGTCTTGCTGGTTAGACCTACCCAAAGTTCTTTGCCAAGGAGGTTGGGTTGATGGGGAGAAGGTAGATCGGGGCAGCCTGTGAGACTTTATTAGGTCTTAGGAAATCCCGAAGAGTCTCATCCATAAAGATGCAAGGGGAAGTGGATGGGAGGGAGAATAGAGGGCAGTGGGGGGAGGGGAATCCTGCCTGGCATATGGAAGCTTTGAATGCAGATGTGACACATCTAATTCGGCCTCCTGATCCTCCTTTTGTAAAGCTTGGGGCCTCATACAGGAGCAGAAGCACCGGACTTGGGAGACAGAAGACCTTGTTTTGAATCTAGGCTTTCCTGCCTACTAGTCATGTCACCTTAGGCAAATCCCCCCATTTCCTCAGTTTTCCCACATGAAAGAAAGGTTTAGATCCAGCTGTGACGATGTTCTTTGAATCTTGAATTACTGGGACTTCTGAAAAACAGCTGAGCTAGTGTGGGGCCTAAGCCCGAAGAAAGAGCCAAGAGAAGAACTTTGGCCTAGGATCTGTACACCAGGGTGATAGACACTTTATGGTCTCCTGACCCCAAGTTGGGTACTCTGTCTGGTAAGACAGACTTCTGATGACCTTAAAGGGAAGACTGTGAGGACCTTTAAATTTGCTTGACTTGCAAATTCATCCCATTGGGTTCTTCTGAGTCTCACATTTTTCCTCAGGATGCCTCTACCCCTCATTCCACTGCTCACTCCCCCCACCCCCCAATATAATATATTCACTGATGGGCTGTGGGACTCTGGATGTATGGGTCTAGGCATTCGTTTCTTGAATCTGATCAGTGTCCCTGAGTCTATAATATTACTATGGAATATTAATATTTAGCAGAGTGGTGCAGTAGAATGCCTTTCAGCTTAGGAGTTGGAGATCTGGCTTCTTATGCCATCTTGACCATTAACTAGCTATGTGACCTTGGGCTTTTTGATCTGAAAGGCCTCTAGAACATCCCCTTAATTTAGCTACTCTGGGCCTTGTTTCCTCATATGTGATCTTTTTTTTGGGGCGGGGGCAATGGGGGTTAAGTGACTTGCCCAGGGTCACACAGCTAGTAAGTGTTATGTGTCTGAGGCCGGATTTGAACTCAGGTCCTCCTGAATCCAGGGCTGGTGCTCTATCTACTGCACCACCTAGCTGCCCCCCTGTTTCCTCATATGTGAAATGAGGAAGTTGGATTAGAATGATCTCTAAGGTTCCTAAATTCTAAATTAGTTCTAAAATTCTCCATTGACTTGAATTCTGCCTGGATAGAGGGTAGAACCTTAGGGACTAAGCCCCAATGTCTATAAATGGTCTGGTCTGAGGGATAAATGCTGTTAGTGAAACAGGGTTGACACCAAATAGGAAAAATCAGGTGGTATCTTATGCCTTCTGGTCCCCTGCTTGCCTGACACTGTGAAGAAATACCACCAGGAAGTTAGGAACAGCTTCCATCCAAGTTGCTATACCCAGTGGGCTTTCTTTATTTTCTCTTTCTCCTTACCAGCAACCAAAAGCATACAGCCCTGGGGAAACTGGACTGACTCCTTTTGTAGCAAACCCTTCGGGGGAGTGCTTGGCCCCTTCACCGCCACCTAGTCTCCGAGGTCAGCCCACATGGTTACGCCATGTTACACTCAAGGCCAGCCAGTCTCATACTTCTCTTTACATTTCTCAGAACTGGCTATCCTTCTTCCATATTGAAATGGCCCTACCTTCTGGTATTGTCTTTTGAGTTCTGGCTGCAAAGAACTTTGGGTAGGTCTAACCAGCAAGACTGCCATGAACTGGTCCAATGAACATTTTCAACCTTTCTAGGCCCAGCACTAACCTTCAACCATTTTCACTTGTGTTGTCCTTCTCATGTGGGATCTTCTTCTCCCTCTTGGCTTTCCCTAGAAACCCATATTATAGGTTTAAAATACTAACAGATTAGAATATAGAAGTTAGAACTGGATATTGTCTAGTCTGGCACCCTCATTTTATGGATGGGGAGCTAAATAATTTGTCCAAGGTCATACAGGCACTAATTAGCAGAGGGATTTCTAACACTTTTTGTAGAATAATAATATAGACAGGAACTTACTGCAAAGAGTACAGGATCTGGAGTCCGAGAACCTCTGTTCAAATCCAGCTCTGCTACTTTCTGTGTAGGTGACCCTAGACAAATCAGTCCTCTTCTTTGGGCCTAGCTTTCATCTCTTTAAAATGAAGCAGCTAGCTGAATTAGATGTCCTTGAAGGTCTCTTCCAGTGAAGCCACTGATTCTAGGAAATTTCCATCTATGATAGTAAAAGCATCTTTTCAACTTTATTTTCACCTGTAAACTGAGCATCAAAAAAGATGGACCAAAAACTGATATCTTCCAAGTCTCGAGTCCTTGTAGGGAGGCTGTTGTTTTGCTAGGCAATGGGGTTAAGTGACTTGCCCAGGGTCACACAGCTAGTGGTGATATGTGTAAGAGGCCAGATTTGAACTCAGGTGTTCCTGACTCCAGTGCCGGTACTCTATCCACTGCTCCACCCAACCGCCCTGGGACACAGTTCTTGAAAAGATTCATAGATTGTTATTCTAGGAGAAAAGACTCTAGCACCCTTCCCTCTCCTTACTATTTTTACACAAGAAGCTAGAAATGGGAAAGGGATTTGCCCAGGCTCATGCTAGTAATAAATAGCAGGATGAAGATTTGAAACCATCTCCCAATTCTAAGTCCGGCTAGGTATTGCAGTGGATAAAGAGCTGGAGACCTAAGTTCAAATCTAGCCTCAGGTGCTTACTAACTGTGTGACTCTGGATTTAACCTCTGCCTGCCTTAGTTTCCTCATCTGTAAAATGAGGATAATAATTCCTACCCCTCAGGGTTGTTATGAGAATAAAATGAGGTAATATTTGTAGAGTGCTTTG